AGTAGCTGCCAAACAGTGGTGACACTGCCACTTCTCAGGGCCCTCCCCCTTGCCAGCCCTGTGCTAAACATGGTATTTCTGTTAACTCATCTACAATATTAGTCACAAGCCTGTGGGGTAGTCTATTTTGCAGATGAGGAACAGAGGCCCTGAGGTTACTGTGATGGAGATTGTAAGGGACAAAGCCAAGACAGAGAATCTGGGCAAAGTCATGCTGACTGCCTGGCAAGTTCAAGACAGTTCATTAGTACAATATCCTTTGAGATAGGTCTTATTATAAGTCCTGGTACAGATGAAAACATGGAGGCACAGGGAGGTTAAGGGACTTGTTCAAGGTCACAGAGCTACAGTTCAAACCCAGAGAGCCCAAGGCACCCCATCATCTACCAAAATGGTCCACGTTGGTGTTCAGCTTGGGTGTGGGGTGGAGGAGGGGGTGGTACCAAGAGGCCCGGAGCAGAAAACTTGACCTGTACTTGCTTGATGCCGGGACTTCAGAGCACATACTACTTGCTGGGGAGCTCAGCAGCCTGTGAGTGCTCCTGCCTCCTCCCCTCCCCCGCGGGGTCCTCTTTTTCCTCTCTTCTTGCGCCTCCTGCATTCAGCCCAGGCTGCATCTTGGAGAAGACGCCCTCTCCCGCTACTCCCAGACTGCTTGCTCCGAAATATTCACAGCCACAAGACCAGAAGCGGTGTCTGGTGGGCAGTTCCTGAAGCTGCCTTTCAAAAGCACTGGTTTGAATTTGGAGTGAATACTGTTTGGGACGACTGGCCGGAGGAGACAGATGGGGACTGGAGAAGCTCAACCCACCCGCTCCTTCCTCGTCCCCTCCCCGTCTCGGCGCCGCCCCTGGTGAAGGCCCAGACACCTGGCTGGTCTCCCTCTCTGGTCAGCCTGTGCTCTCTGGTCACTTCGGTCTCCCCGGAGGTTTCTTCGTTGACGCCGCGTGGTCTAGGGGCTCAGCCTTGGGCGAGCGCCTGGACCTGGGGCTCAGAGACCCTCCCCCTCCCGGGCCTCCCACGTAGCGTTTTGAACCCGCTCTGCGCTAAGGCAAGAAAGAGCGTGGGGAGCGGGCAGGGCGAGCAGAGGCTCTAAATCTTCCTTCAATCTGTGAGTAGATGAAGTCTGAGAAACAAATTCAAAGCAGGCGCGCCTGCAGAGCCTTCCTGCAGAAATACTCTCCGGCATTCAAGCGCATCCAGGGCCGGCTCGAGCTGCCTTGTTTGGCTAAGGTCAGACGAGACTCGAGTTCTCCAATAAAAATAAATCTCAAATTAATTATGGCCTCGAGCGAGAGGCCAGACACTTGAAGCTGCAGTTGTGCAGTCTGGAGTTTTAGCCCTGGCCCGCCCTCCTCCCCCGCCCCGCCCCGCCCCCTCTGCCAGCCCTGATACCCGCTGCGGTTGCGCTGGACCGGCCGGGTGGGGGAAGAAGGATCCGCCCAAGACGCTCTGCCAGGCCTGGCATCTTGCGGAGCTTCAACGGAGGAGGTCCCCGGGTCAGGAAGCACCCCAGGGACCCAACTCTGGTCGCTGCGTCCTCTCACCCATAACGCAGGCTGGGACTGAAGGAGCCCTGCAAGCCTCCGTCTGGAAAGTCTTGACCGGGTCAAAAGAGCTGACATTGAGCTAGCCAAGACACGTTCTTCGCCCCGCCGTTCCCCTCCCGGGGGGAAACAAGACTTCCGCATCTTTGAAAATATTGTCAAGTGCGAATGGTGCGAGGCAAGTGGTCTCACCAGTGTTTTAATAAAAATACTCCAAATATAAATATTCCCTGAATATTTGCCCACATATGCAGTGCTTTCTAGCAGACTTAGAAATGGGAGGTGGGCTGATTTGTTGTTGGGGAATCATTTTCCTCCAATTCGTAACTTTTTTAAAAACTATGGCTTGGCCTGGCTCCCTTGGCTATGAGCTTCCCGTGACTTGAAAGCCGGGAACGAGCTAGTGGAAATGGGCACCAGTGGTACCCATCCCAGAACCTGGCCACCAGCCCTGCCCAGTCTGGGAAAGAGTGAGGCCAGGCAGTCCCTGATGAGCCCGGAAAGAGGGTGCACACAAGTATGTGGGCAGAAGCAACCATGCCCCAGCTAGGCTGGTAGAGGAGCAGAGTGGGAGGGTGAGAGGAAAGAAGGCAGTGGTGAGGAGGGAGGAGGGGGAGGGGAGAGGGCAGGGAAAGCCCCCCTCAGGGAAAGCCCCCCCATGCAAAGCGCACTCCCCACACACAAAATAGCTTTCATTTGTAGCAGGCCTCACCACAGGCTCTCTATCAATTTGTCTCAATGCAAACATTCAAAATATTCTCTTTGGCTGCTCGTGAAAACAATGTGAGCTGCCAGGATCAAACCATCTTTCCAGATGTCTGGTGGTAACCACATTAAACAGGGCAGACTTGTTTACTGTTGTGTTTGGTTAGGGTTTTGCCCCCCCCCACCACCACCCCTTGGGGATTTAAAAAAGAAGCAGCAGCAATCCAGTGGAGAATCAAACTCAGAGTTATATAAGCAGGGTAAACTTGCCCATCAGCAGCCAACTCAGACTGGGAGGAATCTATATCCTCTCCCAGCTCGGCTCAGAACTGGATGTGTGTGTGTGTGTGTGTGTGTGTGTGTGTGTGTGTGGAAGGGTCTTCTTTCTGGGTAGAGACCCTAGTGAATGGGTAGTAATGGCCTGGTGCCAATCAGTGAGTCACAAGGGCCAGGATGTCTCTGTCTGTCTATCGGTAGTAATCCTGTGCCAGCTCCATCTCCAAAAGCACAGAATCACTGTAGCTTTGGTTTTACGGGGAGAAACAGAAAGTACTATTGAGTTCCACAGCTCCAACAGGAGGCCCAGTCTTTATTTTAATCTCTTGTGTTGAGCTCTTCTAATGGGAAAGGCAACTAGTGCTATAAATGGAGTTAGGGGTTCTAGTGATATTGGGGTCACTACTGATCAGTGCAGCAAAGATGACCTGTCATCTGCTGGGAGTTGGAAAGAGAAACCTGTGGATTGTGTTTGTCACTGTCCCTTCTAACAGACTGGGAGGAGTGTGCTCTGTATGTGTTGGGGTGGGGGGTGCTGTGTGTGGGGTGGCCATTAAACCAGCCTCAGGGATTGCCCAGCATCAGGAAAGGGGCCTCTTGGTGACAGAGTTGGAGTCCTTTCAGGCTGAAAGAAGAGCAATGTGGCTGGGGTTCTGAGTTTCTGGTGAGGTCCTGGTGGGAAGCGGTCTCCCCACACCCTCCTGAATCAAGCCCTGTTGTCGTTTGAAGGTCGGTAGAGTCTGGGCTGAAAAGGAAACAATTTGGGGTTTGAAAGGATGTAATTCATTCTTCCTTTCCCTTTAACCTCTTTCCTCTCTGGAAAGCATGTGGAAACGCTGAAGGGAAGAGCGACAGGGCGAGCAGCCCGGCTTGGGGAGGAAAGGGTTAAGCCTGATTTCTTTTAATTGAACTCCAGAACTGGTGGCCTCAGGCAAAGGGGGGGGGACTGACCCCGCTAGCGGTAACCAGATGTGGCGGTCCCAGGGGAGCCCCGGAGCAGACCCCTGGATTGAGAAGCAGACAGGAGGGAGGGCGGCCCCCACCCCAACCCACCCCCCACACGCACACCCGAGCCTCAATTGCTGGCAGGCTGCACCGGCCACTCCTGGTCTGGTCACGTTCAGACCCGTGTCTGTATTGGAACCCAAAATTGGAGCTGAATTGATGAGTCTAATTTTGAGAGGGGGAGGGGGAGGGAGGGTGGGAGGCGAGCGAGCTCTCAAGCTCAATTGCTCCTGAAGAAATAAAGAATTAATAAGTCACCTTTTTCGCTGCTGTGGACACCCTTTCGAGTTTTTTTTTCTTTCCAATTCATTCGGATCGCCTCTGGATTTTTTCCTCTCCTCTTTCCCTGGGAGGACTCTTAAATAAAAGTGAGAGAGTCCCAAGCGTGGTCTGGAGAGCGTGGACAAGGTAACATGATTTGGAGGTCGGGGAGACGGGACTCAGGCCAGGCCGAAAGCTCCCGGGCCACTGACGCTGCCTTAACCAGAGTGCGCGGCTGCCCAGTAAGGGACCGAGGTCTCAGGGCAAGCCGCACCCGCAAAGTGGCCAGGGGGCCGGCCCCACTGCTGGGTGGGATGACGACCCGGAGCGAGAGCCCCAGGTCTCACCGCTGGAGAAGTGTGGCTCTGTGTCGCGTTGCAGATTGCGCTCCGGGGACCTGCTCACCAGAGTGAACAGAACGGTTTGCCGCAGAGTCAGTTCTGGGAGCCCTGGGTAGGACTGGAGGGAGACTCTGGCTCGGGAGTCCAGGGTTGGGCCATCGGGTCAGGGTAGGCGCGAGGGTTTAAGCCTGGGAGACCGGATAGGCGGCCTAGGGTGCTGCTGGTCCCCGCCTTTTGCGGGTGCGGGGAACCTAGAGTAGAGGCGCGATGCCTGGAGGGCGCCCCTCTCCTAACAATGCGCCTGGAGTTGAGTCGCGCCCCCGACGGCGCAGGTCAGCCGAAAGAACCCTGAGTCCGCGTCGTGCGTGGGACAGTAGATCCGCTAGTCCCTCGATCTCCGCAGCAGAGGAGCCGAGTGGGAAAATTCCCACTCGATGCACTTTTTAGCGGTTGGTTTGCCGCGTCCGGATGGATCTTCCCCGGTAGTAGGCGCCAGGTTATCCCAGCCCGAGTCAGCTCTCCCGCCGTCCTCCCATCCCCAAAAAGTTAGACTCCGGCTGGAAAAAGCATTAATGAACGTATCTGTGGGAAGAAGCGGAAAGTGAATGAGTCAGGAGGGCCACCTTCGGCCAACGGCCCAGGGAAAAGGAAAAGGAGGCCAAATGCTTTGGGGTTTTGGGGAAGGGGATGGGGAGCTGCAGACTGCGGGAATCAGGGCGCGGGCGCTGGGCGTGGACCCCGTCATTGTTCCCGGCGAGTTCTTATCTCCCAGGAGCGAGTATCCTGTGCGCGCAGTGCATGAATGCGTCTGGGCATCTCCGCGTATATTTATATAGTGAGTGATGCGAAACGCAGGAGTAGCGAAGAGGAAGAGGGGGCTTGGGGGAAGGGAAGGCGAGGCAGAGCCGAGGAGAGAGAAGAGAGAGGAGAGCGCGAGACGAGAGAGACAGAGAGAGACAGAGAGAGACAGAGAGACAGAGAGAGATAGGACTTCCTCCCCACTCGCAAAGTGAAGTCACTTCCCAAAATTAGCTGAAAAAAAAGTTTCATCCGGTTAACTGTCTCTTTTTCGCTCCGCTACAACAACAAACGTGCACAGGGGAGCGAGGGCAGGGCGCTCGCAGGGGGCACTCGGGGAGGGCCCAGGGCGCCGGGGAGGCCGCGCCCGGCTGATCTGAAGGGGCTGCGAGGTCAGGCTGTAACCGGGTCAATGTGTGGAATATTGGGGGGCTCGCCTGCAGACTTGGCCAAATGGACGGGACCATTAAGGTAAGCCGCGGGGCACGGCGCGCGGGGCGGGGGCGGGCGGGCGGCGGGAGGGCTGGGCGCGGGGTCCCGGAAGACGTGGCCGCGCTCCCTTCCTTCCGCACCCGGTTTCGCGCCGTCTCCTCCGGTTCTCGGGCGGCCGTTCCCTCTTTCGGGGAGTCAGGCCGGCTCCCCGCCGAGGGCGATCTCCCCGCAGCCCTTGTGCCGCAGTGGAGGCCGGCTCCCTTCCACGCGCGTCGGGCCGGTGGCGGGAGGGGGTGGCGTGGAACCCGGGACGCGGGTGCAGATCCGAGTCAGGGGAGAGAGCCCTCCGCGTCGCCCTCCCAGCCGGCCACCGGCGCCCTGGCCCCGGAGCCGGGCACTCGCCTGGCCGCCGGCTTCCCCTCGCCAGAGGCCAAGAACAGCGGGGTGGGGGCCGCCGCCGCCACCGGCCGAGGGTCCCCGCCTGCTGGGCCCCGGGGCGGCAGTGGCTCAGCTGCAGGCTCGTGGGGGTGTAAAGGAGTGTGTCTGCGGGTCTGTCTGCGCGGCACTTCCAGATGGAAGCGCCTGTTTACATGTCAGGAGGCCGGAGGCCGGTTTCCCTTCCCTCTGGCTGCTTCTGTGGCCGGTTCTCTGCTCAGCGGCCCCAGCTCAGCGGGACTCCCGGGCGGGCCTCGCAGCGCCTTGGTAGTGCAGCTGCCTGCACCCCGCTCCCAGCCCTTCCGCGCTCGGCTTGACCGGGTTCGGTGGGGAACGTCCCTGAAGCAGCCTTCTCCGAGGGGGTCCCTCGCCCCGCAGAGCCAGCCCCTGGTTGCGGCGGGTTCGGAGCCCGGCCCGACACCTCCCTCGCCAATCCCGCCCCGTCAGCTCCGCCACGCCCGGGTTTAGGTTGCAAAGTGCAGCCCTGAGGGACTGTGAGGGTCTGGGTTCCGTATCAGAGTTTTGAAGAGTTGGCTGCTCGCTCCCTCTGAAAGGGGGAAGTGGAGCCAGGAACAGAAAGGAGGGACACCCCCTAACACGACTGGCCTGAGAGGACCCAGGGAATGAATGGGACCAGAAGCTAGCTTCAAGGCTGCCCTTCACCAGCAAGCAAGCATTTGCCTGGAAAAACTATTAGGCTGGTGAGGTTGGGACCGGCAGAGCCTGCCATTCCCCAGAAGCCAAGAAACCAGTTCCTTGCTCAGGGCTGGGTGAGAGGAGGCTAAGATGTTAGGTTTAGAGAATGCGAGAGATTTTTATCATCTGGGTGGGGTCCTCGTGGTTTAATTTTCTAAGGGTTTTTTTTTTTTTTTTGAAATTTTGAAATATGCTGACAGGTACAATGCACCAACCGAAGGAACTTGAGAATCTGGAGATCACTGATTGTAATGGGTTAAAGGGAGACTAAGAGTTCTGTGGGTTCCTGAAACTTGAAGTGAGTGGGTGAGAGACGGCTGCTGTTGAGACCTGGGAGCGGGGTCACTGGGCCATTTTATGCATTTCTCTGCTTCCTGTTGCTGTGTGTGCCACTGCTTGCGCCTCTGAGTTCAGGAATGAGATGTTTTTTCCAGAAAACTCCCCTTCACCAGGACACTTACCGCTTACCCCAAAACATCCCTCTGCTACAAAAGGGTGGTAAAATGGCTTCAGGGTCTTTCTTTGGACACCCCAAGGAGAAGTGAAGCAATATCTCCACAGTGCTCAGACCTCTAAGCACAGGCCTAAGCAGAGGGAGGAAGCTGTGGTCTGTGTACACAGGATGTGCTAACCTCTTTAGATACACACACAGGGATCAGCATGGCAGGCAGTGAGAAGACCTTCAGACCAGGACCCTGGGGCGCTTCATGCACAGATGTGAGTGACGGTCTCTCAGGGCAGATGATGGGAGCCCCCAAGCCACTCGAAACCCTCGCCATGAGCACCCTTGTCTCTCATCTAAGTTACCTGGCTCTGTAGTCATCCACAGAGCAGTGACTTTTCAAGCCATCTTCATTCCCTCAGATTCTTCAAGATGAGGCCTTAGCATATACTGTGACATTTCAATTGTGCAGAAGCCACAGGTTCCTGTTCGCGTATGATCTTCGGATCTCAGGGTTTGCAGATCCCTCTCCCACAGTGGTTTAGTACTGTGCTTGGAAAAGACAGTGAACTGGGAGAAAGGCCAGCCAGCTTCTGGTCTTGCTGCGAGAATGCACAACCCATTAAATCTCCTTGAGCTTCATAATCTTTGGAAAAACAAAACAGTGAGACTAAGTTAGCTCTAAAAGAGTATCCAATCCTTTCTCTGTCTAGAATATTAAGCTTATGTACTAGAAGGCTCACCTCTTATGCACTAAGTCCTACCCTATACTACAAGAAGTCTGAAGACACTATGTAGCCCATATCTAATTTATACACACATGCTGAGAATGTGCATGTTCTCAGTTTGAATAGTCTGCAAAAGTCAGCTTTGAGTGATTCTGGGATATGATTTTATGTACCTTCATCTTTCTTCCCCTAATATAAGGCATGGCTATATCTCAAAATGCCTGTGGGGCTCAATATTCAGAAGGTATTTATCCAGGATGCCAGGAAAGTCTGGCTTTCTTCACAGAAACCCCTTGTGTAAGTAACTAGCACAACTCTAAGGAATTATAGACTCCCTATCACATTGGTCTTATTGTAAGTCCTTTGCTATTTTGCTCTCGGCTCTTTCCTGAGAATGTCTGCTGGGCAGGCTCTGAACATCACATTTGGGGCTCCCAAGTTTGTTAGTCTCCTTTTGCCACAGACAAGTTAACCTTCGTGATGCAACAACACTCTACTCCACCCCTGTTCCCCACAGTGATATTATCAGTGTTGAGAAGCATGTGATACCTCTTGCTGCTTCAAGAAATGGCCTGGTTTCAAAAACTGCATCTTAGTTCTAGGTAGGCTTCAGCTGAATCCAACTGATTTCATCGATTTGAGCCTGAATGCATATGCTGCCATCAAAGATGGGGAAACAAAAGAGGGAGGCATGGTGAACCAAACTGGGAAACAGGAAAAGGAGGAGTAGATCTGCAGTCAGAAAACCTGATTTCATTCTCAGCTTTACTCCTTGTGTGCTTTATGGCAAGGCACTAGCTTCTCTAACGTCAGTTTTCTCATTTATCAGATAACGCCAAAGTGCCTCCTTGCCTCAAGACACAGTAAGGATGACATAAATTTGAGTGCCTTAGTTGTATCATATTATCTGTTACATTGGATTACAGCTTGTGGGATCTACTGGTCAGAATGTTAGATCACGGGTTTGGATTTACCATAGTGTATGTTTCATTAGTTCAACAAGTATTTATGATATGTCGCTTATGTTCCAAGGCTTTGCTGTATATACTGAGGGTAAAATAGTGATCAAAACTTTTGAGGAATGTACCCTGTACTGGAGGTGCTGAGTACATACAGAAAGAGATTTATGTCTGGTTGTGATAATATCTTCTGAAGAACTGTAAAGCAGATTAGGCACAGAAAATGATGGGGCTACACCAGGTAGGATGGCCAGGGAGAGTGTTTTCTAACAAAGTCACAATTGAGCAGAGAGATTACCCAGTCTCAACTTTTACCTCAGAAAATGATGCAAGAATAACTAATGAGTAAGGAAGAAAGGTTGGGGTTATTGCTAGGCTTTGCAAGCCAAAGAAGTCAATGTACCAGACAGGCCCTGGAGGGCAAGTTATCGCGGGAAGGGCAGGAAATTTTCAGGAAGGCACATGGAAAGAAGGAGCCATGTGAACAGATTTGACTTTTTGTCCTCAGGAGAGGATGCTGCCTTACCTCCCCTCCTGCCACCTTTTCACCTAGATTCGTGCAAACTCCGGGTAAGATAGACTCTGTTGGTTTATCTGTCCCTGTGGCTGTGCACATTGTTCCCCAAAGACAATTATCAATAGTGAGTTCTATTTTATGTGCAAATAATTTTTACCAAAAAGCTCCCTTCTACTTCCATTACTGTCCAAATTCAAGTTCAAAAGTTTGCAACTTTAGAGCTCCAGGGAGTATTTCGCTGGACATTCTTGTTTCATGGGTGGGAAAACTGAGGTCTGCGGGTTACTTGGAATATCTATGATCATATAGTTAATTGCTTAAAAAAGAAGAGAGAGAATTCAGGTCTTCCAACCCATAAAGTAGTGATCTTTCCACTACACCTTGAAGACATCATTTGATTTTGTTACATGCTACATTACTTTGAATTATAGAATCCTGGAGGCAGGTTGTGTGTGT